GAGAAAACACTGGAAATACAGCTTCTAATTATTTGTTAGTCCTCTAATAGAAGCTTTTAAGTGGAGCACCTGTTTTAGAACATAGATCTAGCCGTAGAGCTGTGCATTTTTGTGTCTGCAATTAGGAAACTCTGCTTCTTTAGACTAAAAGTGGTGTTCCTTTGTCCACAGTTAGAAGGTAGGAGACAGGTGTGGTGAGGAAGAGTGGACCATACAACCAGTGCTTGCCAGGCATGTAATAAAAGGAGAGGTGGGTGGAGAGGAGAACCTGATGAAGTTCAACAAGGGCAAGTGCAGGTGCTGCACCTGGGGAGGAATAACCCCCTGCACCAGGACAGGTTGGGGTGACCTGCTGGAGAGCAGCTCTGAGGAGAAAGACCTGGGAGTCCTGGTGGACAACAGGATGCCCATGAGCCAGCAATGGGCCCTGGTGGCCAAGAAGGCCAATGGCATCCTGGGGGGCATCAGGAAGAGTGTGCCCAGCAGGTGGAGGGAGGTCATCCTGCCCCTCTGCTCTGCCCTGGGGAGGCCCCATCTGGAGCACTGGGTCCAGTTCTGGGCTCCCCAGTTCAAGAAGGACAGGGAACTGCTGGAGAGGGGACAGCAGAGGGCTACAGAGATGATGAGGGACCTGGAGCATCTCTCTGATGAGGAGAGGCTGAGGGACTTGGGGCTTTTCAGTCTAGAGAAGAGAAGGCTGAGGGGGGATCTGATCAACATCCATAAAGGTTTTTTCAGTGGTGCCCAGGGACAGGACAAGAGGGAACGGGCACAAACTTGAACATAAGAAGTTCCACCTCAACATGAGGAGGAACTTCTTTGCTGTGAGGGTGGCAGAGCCCTGGCAGAGGCTGCCCAGGGAGGTGGTGGAGTCTCCTTCTCTGGAGACATTCAAACCCCACCTGGACACGTTCCTGTGGGACCTGCTGTGGGTGGCCCTGCTGTGGCAGGGGGTTGGACTGGATGATCTCCAGAGGTCCCTTCCTACCCTGTATCATTCTGTGGTTCTGTGAAATGCAGTTGCAGATAAAGGGACATCAAGAAACGATAGCTGCCTGTAAAAGATTAGTGAGTCTTCAGAGTGTTGGGAACATCCACATTTTGAAGTCCCTCACTGGCACTGCTGGGAAGGTAGTGTTCCTTCTGAAAAATGGTTACGTGAGGGAGTTCAGTCACCACTAACTTGAAGGTGCTCCTCTTAGGGTAGTTCCCAACCTCTCCTGTAGCTTCTCCCCAGCTTTCTTCTACCTTGATTAGATTGCCTTCAGAGAAACAAACGCCATCGTAGAGCTCTCCGCCATCTACCGTGCTAATTTTTCAGTCCTTTGGCATTTATGAAATACACCCCATTACAGAACTAGCTGTCTCTAAAGAAGACCTACTAAAATTTGGAGTCTTTATCTGGAAGATGTTTATTCAATTCTAGAGGTTTGTTGTCGAGCTGCCCGTTTCAGAAATGGCACGTTGGAGATGAAGGGCAAGAGCGTTGACTTGTTTCGCAATTTTGGATAAAGCTCAATGCGAGCACGGACGGACGCTTGTTTGGGGCAAAACTCCATTTCTGCTCTAGATGGTTGGATTTGAATTAATGCTGGGAATTTGTGTGTGTACAACATATAAATTTGTCAGACCCGAATGGGGCCGCAGAAGGGCCCTGCCAGCATTTTTCCGATCGAGCTCTTGCGCTGCTGGAACAGTCTGAGCGTGGACTTGGCTGGGTGAGGTGAGGCTGACTCAGAGCTGCCTTCTGTTATTTTATTCTTTTTCTTTTTTTTTTAAAAAAAAAAAGTATTTTTTTCTGTACCTAAAGACACTGAATATTCCTATATCTCTTTTCACGCAAGATGTAAAAATACATTTTTTTCTGTACCTAAAGACACTGAATGTTCCTCTATCTCTTTTCACGCAAGATGTAAAAATACAGATAGGAAAACCAGTTTTGCCCTATTTCACAGATGTTGGAAATTCCCTCCAACTACTGATTTTAATGGAAACAAATGGAAGTGATACTGAGTATGAAATCCAGTTTTGCTCTCTGTTTTCTTCTGTGGAGGGGAAAAAATACCCCAACACTCTGATTGCCTGTCCAGCTGAACTTTAGGAACAGACTATTTAACGCAGCTGGTGGTGAGACACTTCTTGTTTTCGACCTCCCCTGGGTACCTATTGTAATATCTCAGCTGTCAAAGGCTTCATAGTTTATTTTACATTTATAGAAGTCAAACAATTATTGTAGTCTGATTTTCTATGCTCTCATTTGGATATCAGCAGTAACCAGCGGGTTCGTGGTACTCTCTTAGAGCTGCTCGGTGGGTTGTAGTTGGGATTGAGACCCTGAATTGCATTTTTTGTGGATTTATGACAAAGTTGTTTTGAATGTGGGGTCCCTTCTGTGTTACGATGGGAGAACCTCTACTGTTTTTTTCAGAGCATTTAGGGGTTGCCTGAGGGAAGGCAATGGCAGTCCACATCCCTGTGTCCATCTGTGGAGTGATGCACAGCTTTAGGCTGCCTTCAGAGGCAAGAAACCATACGCTGCTTTTTGTCAAGGGATCTGTGGGAGAGATCATAAAAGACCTGCCTGTCTTGAGCTAGCCTTAAAACCAGCCCAAAGCATTCTTTATCCTTTGCTAATAAAATAAATAGTTGCTTCCACATCTCCTCTGAAGCGTTAGTGTATGAAAAGCTCCGAAGTCTTAGACTATAGGCTGTAGACTATGGAGTCTAGGTTGGAGGCTTTTTGAAGTTGCATCTGTTTCATAGAATCATAGAATTGTCCAGGTTGGAAGGGACCTTTCAGATCATTTAGTCCAACCATCAACCTAACTCTGATAAAACCCATCACTAACCCATGTCTCTAAGCACTATGGCAACCCGGCTTTTGAACACCTCCAGGGATGGTGCCTCAACCCCTTCCCTGGGCAGCCCATTCCAAGGCTTCAGAACCCTTTCCATGAAGAAATTGTTCTAATCTCCAATCTGAACCTCCCCTGGTGCAACTTGAGGCCGTTTCCTCTTGTCCCATCACTTGTTCCTTGGGAAAAGAGACCAACCCTGTTGAGCTTGGTGATGTTTACCAACTCTGAATCCTTAGTTTGGCTTCTGGGGCAGCGCTGAGAATTAAATAATGTCCCCAGCCAACTTCATGAGGGTAAGGTCCGTTCGACTCCTGCCCGTACGGTCCCTCATTGAAGCTGTCATGCAGAATGGCTGATGGCAGAATTATTCTAAGTGAGAAATGCCAGTAAAATACAAAACACAGCCCTTTTCTACCTATTTTCTTGTGCGTCAGTTGCCATCAACTGAAAGTTTGTTTTCTTTTGTGATTTTTCTCCTTTACCCTTCCAGGAATATGTTTTCTAATTAAAAATCACAACAACATCTCCCCAAAAATCAGATTCAGTCATATGTGAGGGCTAACGTGGTGGTGATAGTAATATGAACAGCTTGCTACAATTATTTGCTATTCCAAAGATTTGTTTCCTTGGAATAAAAGTGCTTACGGATGTTTTGTGCTCCTAGATATGCTGATTTCTTTTTTTTTGTGTTGGTTTTTTTTTTTTTTTTCTCCCATACTACTCAAATGTCTCATGTTTTAAGCTCTCGGGGTAATTTGGTATCAGTGGGAGTACCCTTACATTTTGGTGCTATTAGTGTTTTATTGTCCCCTCCTCACCGGTGTTCTCAAGAACTTTGTTGGAACACCTTTTAAAGATGTGAAAAGTGGTAATAATTTATATTTCTTGTCTGATCTGTCTTGGGTGTCAGGGACATGACATTTATTAACAGGGCTGGGTAAGGGTTTTGGCAGAAGCTAAACTTCAACAGCGTTACTTCTTAAAGGGAGAGATTTTGGATTTAAATCGCATTTTAGAACAGTAGTAATTAGTAGTAGGAAAAATAAAATTTTGTCAAAGTTTGGATTGATACTTGATTTGTTTCCCCTTGTCAGAGCTACTCCGTCTGCAAACTGGGAGGCTTGGTTTAGGATTACTGCTCTGGAGAATCCTTCAGCCAGGTTGGAGATGGATTGCTCAGAGTCATAGCGAAGGCAGGAGGTTCCAGAGCAGTGGAGGGGGTTTGCCAGGCTCCTTTCACACTCCTTTTCAGTGTGAAAACATCTGTGTAATCAGCAAAAAAAAAATATCTTTTGGGGTCTTAAAAATATTAGGAAAAATGTTTACACAGAAAGGGTTCTGAAGCCTTGGAATGGGCTGCCCAGGGAAGGGGTTGAGGCACCATCCCTGGAGGTTTTCAATGGCTGGGTTGACATAGTGCTTAGAGATATGGTTTAGTGATGGTTTTTATCAGAGTTAGGTTGATGGTTGGACTAGATGATCTTAAAGGTCCCTCCCAACCTAGTCATGTCTATGATTCTATATGTTTTCCATAGGTAACATAAGGTAGGAAACTTATCGTCACTAGTTCTTTCCAGTGCTCTTGCTGCTCCACAATTTAGTTGGAGCATAAAATCAGCAGTTCACTGAGCCTGGCTAAAACGCACTGGATATTGTCTTGAGGCTTGGCAAAGGGTGGCAAATTTAGTCAGTCTTGAGGAAGACAGATGCTTTTTTTTGCGGGGAGAGAAAGATCAGAGGTGTCACCCTAGTACTCGGGTCCTCTAATGTTCTTTGGAGGCCACGGATGCTGCAGAGCAGTGAAAACACTTCTTTTTTTTATTATTATTTTTTTTATTTATTTACTCTGACTGTACTTCTGCTACCAGCTGGGTAGGTTCACCAGATTCAGTGCACACACACACACACACACACACATTACTTGACAGAGCCAAAGTCGTCCAGGTAGAATAAAAATAACCTGCCTACGCAAAGTATGGTCTCTGCTTCCCCTGGTCCTGGGTTGGGGTGGAGGGGGTGGCAGCTGCTCCTGGGAGGAGGAGGAGGAGAAGGCTTCCCTTGCCCTCTGCCTGTCTGCTGTCTGTGTTCTCAGCCATCAGGAATGTTTTCTTTCTATTTTTTTTTTTTTTTTTCCTTTTGCAGATGACACGACTGGTGCTGCCCGGCATGGTGGAAAGGTGAGTCACACTACCACTATCCAGACAAAGTCATCATTATTTATAGGGGAGAATCCTTTCTTGAAAAATTCATTACTGTGACTAATCAGCCTAGTCTCCATGTTTTAATGGCAGAGTAATGCTGGGTGAGTCACGCTGATGGGGCATGAATCATCAGACGGTGGAAGCCTTTTCCACTCAATTCCCTTTTTATTTTTCCTCTCCCTTCTCCACTGTTGTGGTGATTCCTTTTAGAACAGAATTAAAAAGCCCGTCTGACTCATCGGCACTAACTCAACAACCTGCTATTCTGAGGGGGTGGTTACAGTTCCTGGGAATAACCTTCTTAAGGCTATTTCTCTAAGTCATTGTAAGTAAAATGGATGCAAAGAATATGTTCTCATTATACAGTAGGAGGTATATTGAGGAAAGGCTGTGAGCGTTTGGAAAAGTAGAATTGAGGAGACCAGCTCTTTAAAATAAGAGTTAATGCACACCGCTGTCGCCGTGGAAGACGTGAACTGACTTCTCAGCTGGCTCCCAGGTGACACTAAAAGGTGCACGGGTTCCATGTGGTCCCTCCAGGCTGGTTTTTGGCTGCCGTTGACTGTCCCAGGCTGTTGGCCATCTCTGTCGCGGTGCTAGCCCAAAGTCAGGTCCCAGCTACACTTGTGTTATGAGGAAGCATGGGTCTGGAGCACAAGTCTTACGAGGAGAGGCTGAGGGAACTGGGGTTGTTCAGTCTGGGGAAGAGGAGACTGAGGGGAGACCTTCGGAGGTTGGTCTCTTCTCCCAAGTTACAGATGACAGGACAAGGGGTAATGGCTTCAAGTTGCGCCAGGGGAAGTTCAGGTTGGATATTAGGAAACATTTCTTTACTGAAAGGGTTATCCAGCATTGGAATGGGCTGCCCAGGGAGGTGGTGGAGTCACCATCCCTGGAGGTATTTAAGAAACGTGTAGACATGGTTCTTCAGGGCATGCTCAATGCCCAAGATTACTGGTTTGTGGTGGGGTGCTGTGTGGGTGGGTGATGGTTTTTGGTTTGGTGGTTGTTGTTGTGTTTTTAGGTGGTGGTTTGTGGTTTTTGGTTTTTTTTTTTTTTTTTTTTTTTTTTTTTTGTTGGTTGGACTCGATGATCTCTGAGGTCCCTTCCAACCACTATGATTCTGTGTGATTCTGTGTGAAAGCTGTGTAGAACCACGCGCAACAGTCACCTTGGAATTGCCTCCAAAGGAATGCTGCAGGAGGAGCATCTGTATGGGGCAGAGCTCCCGAGCCAACAAAGATTAAGGAAAAAAAAATTGGTATTTCTTGTGTCCTTCCACTGTCTGGGAATCTTCACTGCGGATTGGGATGCAGTTAATTCAAGTGTTGCCCACTTGAATTCAAGTGCTCCCCAGAGGGAGCGTTTCACCTCTAAACCAAAGTTTCTTCGTGGGTACAAACTGTCAGAGCCAGTGGTTGGTGGGGAGTCGGTGTCCAGCACATCAGGGTGAGGGCAAGCTTAGATTTTCCACTTAATCGGGAGATAAGAATGAGTTATTTCACATAAAGAAGCTTGAGTTAGAAAAGAAGAGCCAAGACAGAGCTCTGCTTTATTTCCTGATAAAGCTAGAGCAGAGGATGAGGATGATACAGTGGTGGTGGCCACTCAGGGCTTGCAAGTCAAAAGTTACTCCTTGCTCGTGTACTGTTAGTGAGAGATAAAGGGACCTGCCTTTTGTGAAACCACCACCCTCTGAAGATGCCCACGTGCCCAAAACCATTCTACTTTTGAAGGATTTAACGTGGGTTTGTTGTCAATTTTTTGGAACTTTGAAGCTCTATCAAATTTTTTTGGCCTCAGTTTCTTCCCTGTCTAAAGAAATGTGGTGGTTATCCATTTGGCAGAGTTGAACCTAGAGGTTAGATCTATGATTCTCTGATCACTTCAGCTTCTCAGGACAGCATGATGCAGCCTCTACTTACAGAGGTGTTTTTTTTTTCTGTTTTTTAACTGATTTGAATGAAAGGCAGCAAACCAGGATCCTGCTGGCTTGTAGTTCTGCCTGCCCTTTGAGGGCATCAGGGTGAGGGCAAGCTTAGATTTTCCAGTTAATCGGGAGATAAGAATGAGTTATTTCACGTAAAGAAGCTTGAGTTAGAAAAGAAGCCCCAAGACAGAGCTCTGCTTTATTTCCTGATAAAGCTGGAGCAGAGGATGAGGATGATACAGTGGTGGTGGCCACTCAGGGCTTGCAAGTCAAAAGTTACTCCTTGCTCGTGTACTGTTAGTGATAGATAAAGGGACCTGCCTTTTGTGAAACCACTACCCTCTGAAGATGCCCACGTGCCCAAAACCATTCTACTTTTGAAGGATTTAACGTGGGTTTGTTGTCAATTTTTTGGAACTTTGAAGCTCTACCAAATTTTTTTGGCCTCAGTTTCTTCCCTGTCTAAAGAAATGTGGTGGTTATCCATTTGGCAGAGTTGAACCTAGAGGTTAGATCTATGATTCTCTGATCACTTCAGCTTCTCAGGACAGCATGATGCAGCCTCTACTTACAGAGGTGTTTTTTTTTTCTGTTTTTTAACTGATTTGAATGAAAGGCAGCAAACCAGGATCCTGCTGGCTTGTAGTTCTGCCTGCCCTTGAGCACACCACGTCGCGTTTCTTCTCACTTCTCTTAACTACACGATTACCTCGGGAGTCTCACCAATAAATGTTCAAAGAAGCTCGGAAAGAAAAGGTTAATAGTGGTTAAAAAGAAAAAAGAAATACCCATCTTGAACTTTTTCCTGTGTGTGAAGAGCCACTTTGAACGACTGCTCAATTTGAATGGAGGCTTCGGTTGCTGTCCCGATGAAAAAAAAATAATATATAGTTGAAAAAAAAGCTTCCTTTTTATTTTTCTGGGAATGGAGGCTTCGGTTGCTGTCCTGATTAAAAAAAAAAAATATATATATTTGAAAAAAAAGCTTCCTTTTTATTTTTCTGTTTGGTTTTGTGATTGCAGCAAGCGGGAGCACCGTCTGAGGCTGCCAACCCCTGCACAGTCACAGCTCACAGGCCATTAACGCCGTCAAGAGCCTGTAACCACGGGGGGACGTGGCCGCCCGGCAAATCCCAGAGCAGGGCCAGGCGGTGGCTGCTCTTCGGGCCGACCAGCAATTGCTCACGTGGGACAGAGGGTTAGGAAAAAGGGCTCCAGGCTCTAAGAATAACACTAAACTAGAAATCCCATCCTTGTTCCTCACTTTTTTTGCAGCTAGGATAGCGTGTCGGGGAGCTAGACGTGACGTAGCGCTCCGGAGCGTCGTGCAGCTAGAGTGCCTACTTTTTAAGTACTTGAGCATGGGTTTTCTGGCACTATATTACAAGACAAGTACAGAAATCGAGGAGATTTTACATGCTTTGCATGCAGGTCTGTCAGGAGAAAACACAACCGCATCTTGGTGCGTTCTGTTGCTTTTTTATTTATCATAAACATAAGATGAATGGCACTTCTGGGAATGGCATTTAGATTCTCCGCCGCGGCTCCTCTCCCTCTGCTCTGAGCACTCAAAGTGACAATTTATAATCTGCAGCTTCCTATTACACTTAAAATGAGCAGTTCCTCTGGAAAATTTTCTTAAGGTGGGAGACTCCTAGAACGAAAAACTGAGGCTTGATGTCTTTGGGAAGGAAAAAGGAAAAAAAAAAAAACCCAACCACCCCCCCCAAAAAAAAATCAGTTGGCTGTTTCTAGACAAATATCAAACTATGGTATTTATTGCCAGGGAAGTAGCAAGTGCATAATTACATTACAGAGGAAGCTTGCTCTTTCCACTTGGCGTGCAGCTGGAGCAGGCACTGGTTGCCACAGCAACGGGGAGATGGCTAAATATAGCCTCCCTGGCGCTGGACCGCTTAAGGTAGAATGATGGGGAGGTGTGAGGGTGTGGGTCCTGCTCTCCTCACCCTCACCAACTTTCTTATTTCTTTTTTTTGTTTGTTTTTCTTCTGAAGCACTCAGTTGAGTTGGATGGAGCCAACATTTGGCACAAGTCTTATGAGGAGAGGCTGAGGGAGCTGGGGGTGTTCAGCCTGGAGAAGAGGAGGCTGAGGGGAGACCTTCTCGCTCTCTCCAACTCCCTGAAAGGAGGGTGTAGAGAGGTGGGGGTCGGTCTCTTCTCCCAAGTCACAGGCGACAGGACAAGAGGAAACGGCCTCAAGTTACTCCAGGGGAGGTTCAGGCTGGATATTAGGAAAAATTTTATCACTGAAAGGGTTCTCAGCCATTGGAATGGGCTGCCCAGGGAGGTGGTTGAGGCCCCATCCCTGGAGGTGTTCAAAAGAGGGGTTGATGTAGTGCTGGGAGGTCTGGTTTAGTGATGATGCTCCTTGTTTGTTGTGCGGGTGCTTATTTTTGTCAAAATTAGGTTGATGGTTGGACAAGATGATCTTTAAGGTCCCTTCCAACCTAGAAGATTCTGTGATTTCTTCTTCGTGCAGTTCTTCGTTTTTCTTCCGCAGTTCCTCTAAGAAGCGAAATTGTAATTGGAGTAATTGGAAGTGTCCCCCCTACACGCCCTCTTCTGGGTTTCCTTTTTATCTGGAGGTTTTAAATCATGAGTTTTTAAGGGCTGTTTTCTTTATAAATTAAAAAAAATATACCGACCACAAAACCCACAGTGGCATTGACTGCTTCAAAGAGAAGGATACATGGAACTTCTGCCAGGGGCTGCTTCTCATCTGTTGTGTTTCCAGGAGGGTCAAATCAGGAATTCACTGCACCTGGATGATGGTCACTGCAGCTGGAAAGCTGTGCTCCAGCCAACGCTGGGGACCTGGGCTTTACAGCCTGAACACCACCCTCTCTTCTAAAGCTTCAGTTTGTTTTATAGGCACGAGGCTCGTGCTTATCCACATAAATTCTTACCCCTTTTCAAATCCTATTAAGCTTTTGTCCCCAATTAAGTTTTATGGCAAGTAACTCCCATAGCCTGAACGTGGGAAGAGCCCTTCCTTTTATCGGATCTAAATTTCAGTCTTTCATTTAAATAAATGTCATCTTTCTTTTGTATTCTGAAAGGATAAATCAAGATCTTGATCTTTGTCATTCATTAGTCCGTATACTCTTATCATGGCTGCTCTTAATAGTCTCTTAAGTAGGTAAATTGCACCAATCTTTTCACCTCATCGATGTATCAGGGTTTTTTTGGTTTTTTTCTCCTTTCCCCCTTTCTTAAATCATCAGGTTCTTAATATTTCTGCCCTATATTTGGAGGGATAGAGGTGTTCTGTAGCCTGTACTACCACATTTCAGTAGTGGTGGATCTGCTCTGTCCTGTTCTTGGGCTGGTTTTGGTGACTGCTGCACGAAGGAGAACTCCCTGTGGACTTCGTGTGGGTTTTCCAGGGAGCAGAGAGTTGATTTCGAGTCCTGCAAGGTTTTGTGATTAATTCACGTTATTTTCTTTAGCATCTATTGTTGGTTTTGTTAATCCTGACTTTTTTTTTTTTTTTTTTCATCTGCCATTCCATAGTCTGTTCACAGAGCAGTCTGCACTCTTTAAAAACTTCCTCATAGTATTCTCCAATCTGGTAATCTCTTAAAAACGGCACGAATACTCATTTCCACTGCTAATCCCCATTTGAGCTCATGAATAAATATCACAAGCACCACCTGTCTTGGGATGAGAAACTTCTGGCATCACTGTTAACCTTTTGCTGTCGTGAGAATTCGTGATTCATTTGTGCTCTCATTTTCTCCAATACTGCATATTTTGATCCACGCTGCTACTTTATTTCCCCACCCAAGCCTTGCAGGTAACCCCTGAAATACGCGATGAACCTCGGCAAAAGGGGTTTGAAATCCTGAATGACTGAAATGATGCTTTTCTGTCCCGTTAGCCCTCTCGTTTCTGGAGCTGAATCAATCACAGATTTAATTCACGCTTGTATCGTGGCAGAAGCCACGCTGCTTTGAATCTGTTGTCATGATTGTCAAAGAGTTATTGTTGTTTTAATTTTTAAGGGGTGGTTAAGCTCAGGTGTTTGTTTTCAAGAGGGCTACTTCAATCATTGTGGCAGCAGCAGCAAGTGGCTTGAATTTATGACAGGGCAAGAAGCAGCAGAGATGCATCCTTCACTGTGTGGGACTCTCTGGTAGCACCTTCTAACACTGTCCTTGCCTTAATTTGCCTGAAGCTTTTAAAATGAATTCTTCTTTCCACCTAGCCCTGGCAGAGGCTGCCCAGGGAGGTGGTGGAGTCTCCTTCTCTGGAGACATTCCAACCCCACCTGGACACGTTCCTGTGGGACCTGCTCTGGGGTTGGACTGGATGATCTCCAGAGGTCCCTTCCAACCCCACAGCATTCTGTGATATTCCCCATCTGGAGCACTGGGTCCATTTCTGGGCTCCCTAGTTCCAGAAGGACAGGGAATTGCTGGAGAGGGTCCAGCAGAGGCTACAAAGATGATGAGGGGCCTGGAGCATCTCTCTGATGAGGAAAGGCTGAGAGACTTGGGGCTGTTTAGTCTGGAGAAGAGAAGGCTGAGGAGGGATCTGATCAACACCTATAAATACTTCAAGGGTGGGTGTCAGGAGGATGGGGCCAGGCTTTTTTCAGTGGTGCCCAGGGACAGGACAAGAGGGAACGGGCACAAACTTGAATATAGGAAGTTCCACCTAAACATGAGGAAAATCTTCTTTGCTGTGAGGGTGGCAGAGCCCTGGCAGAGGCTGCCCAGGGAGGTGGTGGAGTCTCCTTCTTTGGAGACATTCCAACCCCACCTGGAGACGTTCCTGTGGGACCTGCTCTGGGTGGCCCTGCTGTGGCAGGGGGTTGGACTGGATGATCTCCAGAGGTCCCTTCCAACCCCAGATCATTCTGTGATTCTGTGATATGTCCGTTTTTGTAAGTAAAACTAGTGATGGAAATAGACAGGCTCAAAATCAGGCAGTGGAGTGAGAAATCCAAGAGTCTTCCTTTCTGTCCCACCTGCAGATGCTTTGGAAGCGCTTAGCAGAGCGGGTGGTAGCTCGTTTCAGACTGGTACCCTTACCTAGATATTATCACAGAATCACAGAATCTTCTAGGTTGGAAGGGACCTTAAAGATCATCTTGTCCAACCGTCAACCTAACTGACAAAAATAGACACCCACACAACAAACAAGGAGCATCATCACTAAACCAGACCTCCCAGCACTACATCAACCCGTCTTTTGAACACCTCCAGGGATGGTGCCTCAACCACCTCCCTGGGCAGCCCATTCCAATGCCTGAGAACCCTTTCCGTGAAAAAATTTTTCCTAATATCCAGCCTGAACCTCCCCTGGAGTAACTTGAGGCCGTTTCCTCTTGTCCTGTCGCCTGTGACTTGGGAGAAGAGACCGACCCCCATCTCTCTACACCCTCCTTTCAGGGAGTTGGAGAGACCGAGAAGGTCTCCCCTCAGCCTCCTCTTCTCCAGGCTGAACACCCCCAGCTCCCTCAGCCTCTCCTCATAAGACTTATTCTCCAAACCCCTCACCATCTTTGTTGCCCTTCTCTGGACCCGCTCCAGCACCTCGATGTCTTTTTTATGGTAGGGGGCCCAAAACTGGACACAGCACTCGAGGTGAGGCCTCACCAGTGCCCAGTACAGGGGGACAATCACCTCTCGGGCCCTGTTGCTGTCATACAGCAGTAAAACAACTTACCTTCTCTACTCATCCACTGAATATCTTCCATGCTGTAGTAAAACACTTCTATTTGAGCAGTAGGTTCAGGTACTTCCTATCTTGAAGATCCATCCTGAAGTAACCTACAGAAGATAAAAGGGATTACCAAAGTGTAAACTACACAACAAACTTGTACAGCCATTTCTGCCACCTTAGCCTGACATTTAGAAGTTGCCTTTTGGGCTTGTGCCAGCTTCACTCAACCAAATTCCTATCGTTTAGCCCAGTGTGTGTGTGTATGTGTATGTATGGAACTTCCTTCTCTTGCTGTATCGACCTGAAGAGTTATTCCCAATTTCCACCAGTTGCTTGAATGCTTATATTGTGCTTTAAGTCATATTGGGAAATTTTTATTTAGGATTTCGTTGGGTGTTTTTGAAAGATCTCTTAATCTCGGTCACATCCTAAAGTTTTTTTCTTTAGGCTTTCAGTAATTTTATGAAATGTGAAAGGTGTTTCCTTTATGTCACGATACTGATTTGTTTTTGCTGCCTTTCAGATCCAAAGGGGTCATCCTGAATATCTCCTCAGCTGCTGGGATGTACCCAACTCCCCTGCTGACTCTTTACTCCGCAACCAAGGTGAGTGTTCTTTTCCACACCGAAATCAAGTGGCAAACACAAGCCAACACCACAGCAATGAATGTTTTGGTGTCCATCTAGTGGTGCTTTCATGAACTAAAAGTACTGAGTTTCTAACTTAAAATTTTTTTCAATAGTGGAAGCTGGAAGGTTGAGAGAGAAATGAGTGCAACTGGCATGGAAACAACTATTTGATGTATTTCATCATGCATTCTGCTTTCATCATGCATGATGCTAGAATATCAAGCAAGATTAGTGTGAGGTTGAGAAGTGACATAACACTGAAAAGGATGCTAGAATATCAAGCAAGATTAGTGTGAGGTTGAGAAGTGACATCAGCTGAAGTTTAACACACTTCCTTATTTTGCCTTTGAAACATTTTTCCCTAATCTTACTGAAGATGCCTATCTTCAATATATATAATGTATATATATCTATTTAAGTAGGACTCTTCTGGTGCTTGCTGGAAGCAAACGTTTTTCCTCCTTTTTTCATTAGTTGCCTTAAATTTAGCACTTCAGGTAAGAGAAAGGACAGAGCTCTAGGACCTCACCATCACCAAATAGTCAGCTTCCCTTGATCTGCTGACTATATGTCCTCCTAATGCAACCTAGAATGTCCTTCGATGTTCTTGGCAGCGTGTGGACTATTGGCTGATCTTCTCCCTGGAAGCCACCATAAATTCCAGGTTCTTTGCAGCAGGGCTGCTACTTGACCAAAATTAAGGCATGGTGTTAACCCACTCTGTAGGTGGAACTTGGAACCTCACTCCGTGCCAGTCCAGACATCTCATGATGTTTAACAATAATCAAGTTTCTCCAGGTCTCTCTGGACTGAAGCTCTGTCGTGTCAGCAGCTCCATCTAATGTTGGATGAGGGTGTGCTTTGTGTCATCATCTAGGTCACTGCCAGGAGATACAGAAGAATATGGGCTTTTTTATTGATTTTGTAGGGTTCTCTGCTTGTTATCAGCCAGTTGCCAAGATATTGATCATGGCCCTTTGAGCCTGGTGGTCCAGCCAATTTTCACTTTGGCCAGCAGTTTGTCCTTTCAGCTCGACTTTCAAGTGAGAATGCTGCAGCAGATGGCATCAAAAGCTTTAGTGAAGTAAAAATGTATCCACACACACACACATATATATATATTAAAAATCTGTTTCCCTCATCTACAAAGCTCATCCACTCCATTGGAGATAGCAATTTGGTCAAACATGATTTGCTGTTGGTAAATCTGTTTCTGGTGTATCTTCTTGTCCTTTGTGTAGTTAGAAATTCTTTCCAAGGGGAGGGCTCCATGATCTTTCCACAAGCTGAGTTAAAGCTGATGGGATCATTCTTGCCTTTTCAAGGAGGGATACGTTAGCCCTCTTCCAGTGGTCAGAGACCTCCCTCAGTTTCCATAATTCTTCAAGGATCATTCTTGCCTTTTCAAGGAGCTTCCAGTGGTTAGAGACCTCCCTCAGTTTCCATAATTCTTCAGATACTGCAGACAGCAGACTTGTACACATACAGACTAGTTCCTTCAGCTCTCTTGAGTGAATCCATGGTGTCTCCATCGAGGTTCTCTGAGGAGTTCTTAAAATGTTGCTGCCTCTGCCTGTCTCTTCCATTAATCAAAGCTGGTGCCTGCAGAGGCACGTGAGCAGGCTTTGGCTGTGCAAAGGCAAGAGAAGTGTTGAATAACTTAACCTTTTTTAATCCTTTATCTCTGGATTGTCTCCCTTGTCCATCAACAGAAATTCTCTGAAATGCCTCTTGACAGCTGAGGCACGTGAGCAGGCTTTGGCTGTGCAA